TGCTTTATGAGCATAGTTTGGACACAGGAGGACATTTTTGACCTCAAGAGTTGCAGACTTGGTTTAGTCTGATGTTTTATTATAAGAGGACATCATGGAGCATGTGCAGAATGATTAGAGAAGTGAAATCATGGACTGGTGTGACACTAAAACAGGCATCTCACAAATTTGAACCAGGACACCCTGATGAGAAGTGGCTACTGGACAAGAAGACATTGGTGTGCAAGAGATGAAAACAGGGTGTTGTTGGAACGCTACTACACAAGTAACCCCAGCAGAAGGAGGTACATGGATAGGATGAGGGACCTATGGAGTCTTCGATACCAACATCCACACTGATGGTGAAACAACTAGTAGCTCAGTGTTCCAACATTCGAAAGAAGGAACTGCTCGCACAGCTAGAGATTGATGAGGTACAACACAAATGCTACGGCAAGGGGAGCCAGGACGCCAGGTCAGGGGGGAGATATCATCACCCCCACCCGAGATTGGGTACAAAGCCCCAAGTGCGATAGCAGAAGGATCGTTGAGTGCGAGAGGAACTGAGCTTGAAACCTGGATCCCCTGTAGCCGGTTACCAAGACTACATGAAGTACCCTCAGAAGATCTACTAGATGATGTGAATGCAGCACGGACGATACCTACCACCACCAATAAATACATCTGAGGTTTTTACAGTAAAAAATAACTTTTCCCCAGTAGGTTTTTATGTTTTTGTTTTTGTTTTTAGATCAGTTGTGTTAATAAAGAATGTTAATAAAAAAAATAGTTTGCTAAAAAAATAATGATAACAAAGAAGGTAAAGTACAGTTTGAAAGCTTTAAAAGTAAAGTTAAAGAGAAATGTTAGACCAGTGGGAACCATGTACAGTCTAGGTAACAACAGAAGCAGATCAGGTTAGTATTGTGTAACAGAGTGTGAGACTTGTGTTTGTAAATGAACCGCCTCATGTTGTGTAGCTTTTCTGCATTGTATGTTTATTTATCATATAAGCTAAACAGTTCACCGTTTTTATTTAAGTGAAATGTTTAATTATGAGTGTTAAAGAAAACAAGTTTTTTATATAAAGTAGGCAGTAAGTATATTTGATGTATTTTAACCATATATACGATACATATGCAGTTGTTACATTCTGTAATATGTGTAAAGAAATGACTTTGATTTTGCTACCCTGAGAAGATTTCTCTAGATCAGCTGTTGCCTCGACTCCTCCCTCTGCTGGTGACAGCTGAGTTATGAACAGAAAAATCTTGTCTTCACAACTTAATTGCACCAAACTGTTCGTGTGTGAGTACATCTAAAAACGAACATCTGCTTTGTCGCATGACAGCAGAGGTTTGGTGACAGGAGACCTGCGTCCTCTCTGTGAGCAGCCAACAGCATTCAGCTGTCGTATGAAAT